ACCATTGTATTCGTCTGAAACTGACAAAATTTCTAATTCGTTTTCAGTTTGACTCTGGAACTCTAATGAGGTTTCAGTGTGGCTTTCTTATTTTCAATTTAACTTAACAATAATAATAATAATAATAATAATAATAATAATATAAAAATGGGTACCTCACCGCTTAGCAGAATTAATGTGATAATTAGGCATATCACATGATTTTAATTATATGCACTTTCAAAAGGATGATTTCAAGCAGAATTACACTATACTTATTCGTTAAAATATATTTTTAATTTGTAAGAACTGCTTTAAGAAAAATGTAGATATATTACTGATATAAATCCCTAAATATGTTCGTTTTTCGATTATTAATGAAAAAAATTCTATAGATTTGTAACGTAACGCTACTATTCTTCACACTTTACATTCCACATTAATTACATTGTAACTGTTAGTACAATAGCATTTAAATCTGACCTGATGGACGTTTCGCGCGGTAATGCCTGCTGCATAGTAAATGACCTTGGAGATCACACGTGCAGTGGATGTAGCAATTAATATCACATAGCAATTCAGTGGCATTATGATCCTGCCTTTCGCGTATGGCATCTGTGAGAGAGATTTTAAGCGACCATTGCCTCGTATGTTTATTAAAAGGCGATTCTTGATTATTTAATAGGAAGTCTGAAGAAGTTATCATAAAGGTTTTAGTGTAGCGGAAGGTATCTTAGGCTACCAAATTTTGATTAGGCTTCTCAAATAATTTGGAGAACACTCTGTGACACGTATGATCAGTTCAGAAAGTCCTAGGCTTCTCAGACAATTTGGAGAACGCTCTGTGCTATATATGACCAGTTAGAATGTCTTCCATGAAGGCATCCTTCCCCTTAATTCATAGCAGACAGCACTCCTGTGCTTTGCCATACTTAAATAATCTAACCTAACTTAACCGTATGAGTAGATGGCAGGTATTATCCCATCCTTGTTATAATGAAGATTTATCTTTGAATGTTTCCCAGTATCATCAAAGCTGTTTGAAAAAGGGTATGCATCCAACTAAACACTTTCTTTATAACAGGACACACGCAGCTTCCACAGCGTTGGTGAAAGTGCAGTGCAATGCAGTGGAAATACTCTAATAATGACATGCTTTACAGTTGTATAACTATTCAAATTCTTTAAACCATTCCATTTTTTCGGGTGATATCTGAATCCCTTAGTGCTATTATGTGGTTAATAAAGTAGAAAAGTATCCGAAAAGGTTTCACAGAGTTTTGATTATCAATTCAGCGGATGTTTAACATTCCTTAGAAGAATTAAATCCGTAAGTAATGGCTGAAAGGGAAAACAAATTGTTGACTTTCAGATTACTATAATTTGCTTTGTTTGATTCACGACAACTATATCTGTCATTAATGTATACATGATGTACATTTTTATTTTTTGCCGTTTTTCTTGTCATAAATCCTATGAGACTGTTTTACATTGAATTTGCGTTGTATTAAATATAAGACCATTTTTATTTAAGGCTGTTTGACGTAGCATAGTTGTGAAATAATACTGCGATCTGAGATTCAATATGTGTTTCTAGATATGCTAATTTTTAACAGGTAAATAAATGTGCATGTGCATGAATGCAGTGATGCAATAAACGTTTACCCGACAATAATAACCTTTTTTCATTTCAAAGGTTTGCGATTACACGAAGAAGAGCCATTTTATAAAACAAAAGATACAAAACAAATTAAAAGCGTTTCGGTAACCGGTCTTGGCAACTTCAAGAAAAATTTCAAACCGTTTAAAATATCATAGTCTATCGTAAAAACTGCAAAAGCATTTAATATCACTTTCAACTCATTCAGGAGGAATTGTTCAGGAAAACCAATAATTTTGTTCTTAATATCTAAAAAGCTATCTTTTTTTTCCTATTTGGACGGATATTCGTTTACATGCTCAGCAGAGCGGAATAGATCGCTGTATTTCTAGGATCATTTATTATCCTGCCAATTTTGCCTGATCCTTTTATCTTTTTCTTTTAAGAATAACATTCATCTCAGCGAGTTGTTAATAAACTAGTATCTCTTCTTTCTGTTCTGATAAAATCTATCTATGTAAGAGGAAAAGGAAATAAAAGGAGTCGATAACATATAATTTTGTTCATTTATATGAGAGGACTTTAATGTTTGTACAAAAAGGCCATTACGAACTACATTTAGATGTAACTAATAAAAATATTGAAAAGCAACTTAAAGGATGGCATATTACGTAAGACATACGCTTTTACTTCATTTCTTTTAACAACACTTTTATAATCTATACTATTAAAATCTCTGCGCGTCTGCCTGTTTGTTTGTTTGTGACATTATCTTCTTCGAAACTCCGGGGATCTCTTCGATAGAAGTACCCTCCGATTCCAAAAAATTCTTGGGAAGTCATTTTGACCATTTTCATCTTCTTACGTTTAAGCAGCCGAGATATAAATTTTAAAAAATCTGAAAAGGTTTCATATTTTAAATTACGTCCAGAGGGGCGTTTTTTTAACATTTTGTGTATTTACCTTTATTTATTAAATAATATCACGTTCTTTGCACTTAAACCATAAAATTCAGTTCAATAGCAATGTTGCAAAATAATTTTAAATTGAGCCTATCTTTAGAATTTCCTATACACAGTTCCGCGCGCTGGATATAAAAAGGTTTTTTTTCCGCGTAGAGTGTTGCCATTGCTCGCTTTTAAATCGTTGAGTTATTTACTCAAAAATTCGTTAAAGTTTTACAAAATCTGAAATTGATCATAAAACAAATTCCAAATTTCAAATTTGATCTTCCACATGCCTATATTCGTACGAGGATTACGTCATTCAAAATTCGATGGCTCTACGTACCGTTGTTTTATCACAATGCGAGAATATACATATATTTATGCAGAATTTTCATTATTTAATTTTTTCAAACATAATGCAGGACTCTAACATTTGGTGGCAACAGTTTGAAAAGTGAAACGTATATTTATAATGATTCAACGAAAAATCAAAAACGAAAACAATAGTCTTTCAGGGGCAAAGCTCCTTTGAACTAAAAACTCTGAAAACGCTAAATTTTCATTCTCGTTTTTCCGAATGGCAACAGCCTCGCACGCTAAAAGTAAAAAATCTGCTCTATTTCGTAAAGTATAGCCGCTGCTCGTTTTCAAATCGTAATCGTACAGTTTGTTAATAAAAAATTTGTAAAGTTTACAAAATATGAAATAAAAATAGCATTACCAAAAATTAAACATATTATCATTACATAAGGATATATTCTGACGTTGAAGAAAGCACGAGACTGCATGTGACGTCACTGTATGTCGAACATTTTTCGTTAATGTCAACATTTTAAATAAATAGCTGCTGTTGGCAACGTTTGTTTTTCACGTTAGGACAACTGACACGATATTTTATTGCCATGTTAATTCTTTTATTGATATTGAGGAAAAGTTATTATATTACATTAAATTTAAATCATAACGTTATACGCATTTCTCAAGTGTCAAAAGTTTTTGTGTCTTGGTTTGGCAACAAAATAATTATTTATTAATTGGAAAGAATGAACTCATTTCATTCACGGTGGAATGTTTTTACAGTTTCTTTTCAGGTGTACACAGAACTTATAAATTTTGTTTTGCACGCTAATATTTTACAACTTTTCAAACTGGATTTTAGAACATTATCAAATTATCATCAAGCAGATATAGAAATTACAAAGTCTTGTAGAGACATTAGGTATTTTTGGAAGCAGGCAAGATGAAAAATAGCAACCGCCTTCGCCGAGAATCGAACCACGGACCTCTGGAATACCGGCCCAGCGTGCAGAACCACTACACCACGAAGGCACGCTAGGAAAGTGGGAAAAGTACCTTATAGTCTTACAAAATTTGCAGGAACATAAAGGAGAAAAGCGAGAATACATTAATAAAAAGTGCCTTCAAACAAAGATATTGGAAATTATAAATATACTGAAACTTAGGTTTGAAGCTTAGAAACTTCAAGCACGAAGTTTTCTGCTGTTAACTTTGCAGAAAAAAACAAACAGCTAAGAATTTCAGGAAGGATCCTTAAAAACAATTTCATGAAATACGCGTTAGTATAATTTTGATTTACATAAATATTCATTATACTGACGTATATATGCAAATTTGTGTACTATTTATTTCATATCAAATTTATATGTTCTTTTCTTTTTTAATGTTTAATGCAGAACACTTCCATGAATGTGAGATTTTCACGCTATGTATGTATGTTTTATTTCTTATCATAATGGGGGCTTAATTCTTGAGCTATAAACAAGAGAGTGCTGAATTAAGCATAGAAATAATAAAAGGTATTTAACAAACTTTATTTTACTTTTCTGTTCATTTTGTAAAACATAAGAATGTAGCATTAATTTCCTGCATTAAAATTGTTCATGCGAACAGTAAGATTAAGGTATCAATGAGCTTCCACTTTCACACAATTTAAAATGTGTTAATAGAAACTCTCTTATTATAAATTGCGTATTAAATCACAATAAAACGGGGATTTGTTTCATATGTTTTCATATCAATTTTTAATAACGAAAATATTCTACGAAATTGTGCTGACAAGATTCACAACCATATCGCAATACGAAGCATCGAGAAGCGACAGCCGCTAAGACGGTGAGGAATATATATACATAATGAAATACTAGTCATTATTTTCTCAAAAAGAAGTAAAATTTAGAAATCATCATCTGCAGTCATCCTTGCACACCTACATATTCATTCTTTAATTTAGATCTCATTACTTATAACGCGCAGAGCCGGAAATGCAAGTCCCTGCATCTTAGAAAGGAGTGTCACTGCTGACCAAAGATGGCGTAACAGCGGGTATCACTTCGAACAGCCTTCATCCCATCCTTCTCTCTCCCTCCTCTTGATCTTCGCTATAAAAATCTCCTTGTTCCGCCCGGGGGTTAGACAGGTTTTCAGTGCGGCGCCGTATACAGACGCAGGGGTTTTTGACCACGAGGAGCGAAAGTTACACCATTAAAAAGCTTCGAGATCGACAACCCGGGCTCAAACCTCCGGCACCAGATCGCGGGAGCTGTGCCACTGGTTTTTTGTGTCATAAGATAAAGGGGCAGGCCCGGCCGTGAGTCACTCGCCTCCGAAGTGGAGAGAGAGAAAGGTTATTTCTTGTTGTGTTCTCCTCTTCGTCCACATCCTGAAGCAGGAGAAATTCGTACTCGCTTCTCTGACTGGACGATGACAGCAGGTAAGACAAATTTCGCTCTTGTACGAGTTGCAGTGATCTTGAACTGTTTCTGTAAGCGGAAGGATTTATTATTTTTGATGAACTTTCCCTTTTTTATTTGAGACTTAGAAGGGGGGGGGGAAGAAATGAAGAATTATTTCCCATTTATCATCGGCGAGTACAGATCATTGATTCTGATTTTAATTAAAGTTAGAATCTATTTTCAAACTGATTTTATTAATTGTATTATTTCCTTGTTTATCAGTTTTCATGCATTTTATAGTTTATTTCTTAAATGTGTCCTGATTTTACACTGTTTTTGGATGCTACCATGTTTAGGAAAACAGCCCAGGTCTTTTTTAATAGATTTTTTAGCCAGTTTAAATTATGCTTTAACAAAAATATCCAACTCAATTTTATTCTCAATTATTGTTTAAAAAGGAAAATTCTGAGAATTTATATTTGCAATAAAATTGCTACCTAGTCTTTTATATATATATATAGCTTTACATACCACATAAAAAGGATGTTGTAAGTACATTCATTGCAAATACTTGTATACCTTTGCACTTAAGTCTGTTAGCTTTCTAAATATTGATCAAGTCGAATAACTAATATTTACCTACTCAAAAACCAAAAAGATTAATTTATTGAAATATTTTATTATTGGTTTTATTGTTCATAATTTACTTTTCTGTTTTTTTGTGTTTCTTTTCGATTGCATTTTGAAATATTTGCATAATATTAAATCTTATATGCCATAAATTTCGTTGCATAAAACATTTTTCTAAAAACCATATATGAAAAATTGCATAAAATTTGACTAAAAAGAGAGCTGCATATAATATCAAAGATGGTTAGTATTAAATTTATATTATAGATAAGGAATTAATTTAGTTTATATCTTAAAACAACAGTGTACTACAGATTATCTTCCGTCGCTATATTTAAACTGCATATGTTATCTAAGGCATCAAAATCTGCATTTTCAGTAAAAATAGCATTTTGTCATGAAATCTAGCTACACGTTTTATAATAACAATTATCTGTAAAACAAACCATCAGGTAGTTATTTATCCTCTGAATATTTAACTTTTAAGTTTCCTTTAAGGCCATTTTCTTGCCGGTTTCCAAACGCACATTTTATTCGTAATCAGAGTGATTACGAACTAACTCTTTGAGATTATCGTATTAAGATGATTATTTTAATTTACGTATATACAATTAGTTTCGTGCTTTAACTTAGAGATGATGGGTATTAAAGCTAAAATCCCATAGTAATATCTCAAAATTGAGTTAGCATTAGAATATAAGAATATTTTTATTAATTTTTATAGAATTTTTTGTTTCAAAACCTAATTTTTAAAGTATATTTGTTAGTGCTAATTTTAGATGTAAATTTTCCTGAATGTAATGTGTAAAATAAGGAAATTTTTTTAATAATTTTATAATTATTATTATTTAATTATTATTACTGATAATTTTACATTAATTTATTTATATGATGATGATGATTTAATAACTTAATAATAGGGAAAATTTTTTAAATTACAATAATAGTAATTTTATTATTATTATTTAATAATGAAATTATTAAACCATGGCAAAATTATTTATCATTAAATAGTTATGTAATATATCGACATTCATGTCCTTCTGGCGAAGAGAAAAGTATCTTAATTTTGTACACATTTATGTGATATTTTATTGAATGGTAATTTTCGAATTTTTGAGAGCATTTGTTTTAAATCATTTGCTATAAAGCTCTGTCATAAACGTACCTATCGTAATACTGCTACTGATATTTAGCATAAAGAAAATATGCCTTCTTTTTAATAATGGTATTTGACATCAAGAATACAAACCGTATTTTTTTCTGATGCTTAGCAGGAAGATTTAAATTTGTCATCAACAGGTTTAACGCAATTTTTTGTAGGAGTGCTCGGGTGTATAACCGAAAACAATTCATCATATAATATTGATAAAAATTTATTATTTTTAATCGGTTAACCCGAGAGGCATGACCATTTTTTTTTTCTGATGGGAGAATTCATTTGCATGTTATTTGTTTATATTACAGATTTTAGTTGAACATTTTTTAACCCTTTTATATATTTGTTCTTATCTGAAATAGCGACAGCTTGTATAAAATAATACGTTAATTTAACAGCCAACATATACGTATTTGTTTAAATTTTGAAGATAAAAAAATAATCAACTGTTTCTTAAGCCTTCTGATAAGTGCTAACAAAACAGCAATAACACATTACAAACGCCAGCGGAGTTTAGAAGCAAAGCAATGATTTAGAAACTGATGGCACGTTAATGTGTAAAGAAGCGTTTCCAGTCATAGTTCCGAACTAACATTTCCTTATTTTTATTGAGAAACACGTTTGATACTTAAAGGATAAAGCTACGCCCTCGCATTCTTGAATGAATTTTGTATTGAGAAACTGAGGTAAGAAAGAAAGCACCGACAGCAATCTAGCTAGAGAATAAAACGGAAAGCAAATGCGACGTTTCCGAGATGAAGTTGCGTTCAGCCTGATTTCTTTTCAGTTCACATTTAATCTCTGCTATTTAATTAAAACTTTCGGTTCCCAAATTGAAATCATTATTGGCGGAAGTATTTATGTATGTGCCTAAGTCATTAGCATCACGTAATATGGTTTCATTTCAAAATAACGCAATTCAGAGCGACTTATTGTAAGCAATTGCTATTTTTAAGTAAGAAAGGGGAAATACCCAAATTAATATAGAGAGTTCAGGGAATATTGCAAACTAAAGTAAAATTTTGCTTTACATACATTTTTCTGACATATGTAGTTCAAGGAATAATATATATATATATATATATATATATATATATTGTTGCGTGCGTACGGGTTCGTTATGAAATGAATGCACAAGTCCGATGAAAAAAATGAACAAAAATTTATTATTATCACAACAAAAATGCTTAAATTTTCTCAAATTATCATGCAGTATTACAATATCTCACAGTAGTTATCTTTTAACTACTCAAATATCCAATAGAACGTAATTCAAAACAGCTAAAGAACGCTAATCCGCGAATTCGCTACAATCAACAACAGTAGTTTTCTAAACAACAACAAACTAAGCAACTACTACTAACTGAGATGTTTTCCTCCTTTTATAAGATTTTAAAATCACGCGCTAGAATTTTCCAGTACTTTCTCGAAATCAAAAAGAGATATTTATTTATTTAATGCACGCGCTCTTGTATTTTCAATTTTCCGGCTTAGCTTTCTTTTAATATTCGTCACGCGCGCGCTGCACTGCGCGCGAGAATAAAACCATTTAATTTCTAATTGAACTAACATTAGCTTTTTAAATACCAAATTCGTAACAATATATATATATACATAAGATAAAAATATATAAATCAAAATATTAGCTTTAATTTGCAATAATTTCTTAATTCTTTATCTGGGTATTTTCCCTTTCCTTCTAAAAAATAGTAACTCTTTAGGGAAAAAAAAAACTCTGCGTTATTTCTAAAGTAAGTAAACCTTCTAAAAATAAAACTAAACAAGTAATCTTTCTATAACGTAAAGTTAATAAGTAATCTTTCTATATAATCTGAAGTTAAATAAGTAATCCTTTTATAACGCTACTGAAGCAGAGACTTACGTAAAACTTCAGCCAATAATAATTTTTGAAGCTTAAATATTAACAATCAAAATAAAGCAAAACGAAACTAACTCATTTTGAACCAATATTTCATCTTGGACATGTCGCATTCACTCTCCACTCCACTTGCTATCTAGATTGATTATGTCTGGTTGCATATGTTAAGAATAAAATAACTATTTAACCGACCATTATAGTTACAACTACTTTTTCATACCATCATATCTGTCTTCGGTTTCTAAAACTTTACAACCACTATCTCAAAAACATTAAAAATTTCTTCTTGTTTCAATTCAAATTTGCGGCAGAATTCACCTTGCTCTCTAATCTTGCCTTTCATTTTTGATATTGTTGATATACGATGAAAGCAGCTAACAGCAGTCTATCTAGGCCGAGGTGCAGAAAGAAGTGCGTAGTTATCCATTATGGAGATTTGCTCAGAGAAAAGGTTGAGGCTTAAGTTCCGAATTAGTTACATCATTATCATGTTAAGTAAAAATATAGGGAATTAATCTAGAAATGATGCAGTCCAGGGAAAATTATTACTATTTTTAGAACAGAGTGGGAAGGTAGACATATTAAAATAAAGACTCGAGGGACATTGCTAATTTGAGTTATACCTTTACATATTATTTTATGTGTGTGTAACATAAATGTACATTTTGATTGTTTATGCAATACCACTGCGTGATTAAATGTGACTAGTTATGATTGTAGACTAGAATGCATCAGTTTTGCATGTAGCAATTCTGTGGCTAAAAGACGAATCTGGCTCAAAGAGAAAATTTTACGTTTCTGGTCATATTGCGCTGTTTACTGGATTTTCGTTTTTAGCAGCATTTTTTATTAATTCTGTGGAATCATCAGGGTTTTTTTTAAGCAGGAGACGTGAAAAACGAGCAATGTCTTTCAACGGCACTCGCACCTGGGCCTCTCGAATAGGCGACGAGTATGCTTGCTACCTTTATACCATGAAGGCATGCTGAAAAGAGGGAGAAAATACCTTATGTACTTGCACTTTTAAAGAGTGACTGGGGATAAAGGGGCCCAATCGTCATATCTTGGTAGCGACGAATTATCCTTCCCCACCTTCTAGTTCGGGCGCCATTATAGAGTCATTAGGTTTTTTTAAGCTGGATACATGAAAAATGTGCAATACCATTGCGGGGATTCGACCTCTTGAATACGCTCCGAGTTACATCACTAAGGCGTGCTGGAAGGAGAGAGAAAATACCATATAAACCAATCAGGAAATTTTATCTTTTAATTTGAATAAATAATCAGTTTGCAAATTTGGTTCGTATGGGGTATTAAAGTTTTAAAATTCAACACTATGAATCTTAGTTTCGCCATGAAATTCAACACCA